GGCACTTCCTCTCCCCTGCGAGGCCGCCTTCGTGCAGCACCTGCTTTGTGCTATCACAGGTCAGCAGTCCACCGTCTGCTTTTTAAATTGAAGTGCAGTTGGCTTAGAACGCTGTGTTAGTTTCAGCCCTACAGCAGAGTCACCCAGTTATACATGCATACGTGTACCTATTTTCAGATTCTTTCCTCTTACAGACTATCACATGATACTGATATACTTTTCTGTGTGATACAGCAGGTCCTTGTTGATTATCTTGTATCCAGTAGTGTACATGTGTTCATCCCAAGCTTCTAATTTATCCCTCCCTCCCTTCCCTTTTGGCAATCCTAAATTTGTTTTCTGCATCTGCGGATGAATTTCTGTTTCATAAATAAGTTCACCTGTGTCATTTTTTAGATTCCACGTATGAGTGGGATCGTGTGATAGTTCTCCCTCTCTGTCTGATTTCCTTCGCTTCGTATGGTGGTTTCGGGGTCCGCTCACATTGCTGCAAACGACATCGTTTCGTTCCTTTTACTCCCGGTTCCCTCTTCTGCTCTACAGATCGCTCGTCTCCGCCTGTCTCTCTGCACTTCCTCCCACCCCTCTGAGCACCTGCTGAGCAGGTTCCTCGGGACCGTCCACCTTCTCACTGGAGGAGCCTGGTTTTGGGGCCTGCACCACCCGTTTCCAACTCAGCTGCAGCCTTGATGGGGGGTGGCGGGGGGATTTCTACCCGAGTCTCCTTGGCTCTCCTAGGACAGCTCATGTCGTCACTGGTAGCTGTGGCCGAGGTTTCATGTCCCGGGTGAAAGTGGCTGCACCGCGGAGCTGTCACGAGGCTTCCAACAGGAAGGGCAGAGAAGGGGACATCAAACTCCAGGGCCCATCAGAGCAGATGGTGGCCCTGCCCACTGTGAGAGCTTTCTTGTGCTGAGAAAAAAAGACCACATCTTCTTTCTTTTTTGGTTTTGTTGGTGTGTTGTCATTCTGCTTTTTTAATGAAAAGTCAGTGTTTTTCATCAGGAGCTCCGTGGGTGTTCGGCAGGCCCACCTCTCCCTCTGCAGCATGCCCCTCTCTGCAGGAGATCCAGGGTCCCCAGGGCCGCCTCACCCCCTTTATTGTGAAAACACCCCCAGATGTCTCCAGACGTCTGAAAACCTGACCATGGGTTCCTTGAGAGCCTGCCTGCTCTGGGCTATCAGTAAAACTTAATATTTTCTAAAACTTTCTTTTCCCTATTAAGGGAGTAGGAGGGAAGATTTTAGTTCAACTTCTGGTTAACCAGCATGAAGTGTATCCCTCCTGGAGTGGTGGCCTTTTGCAGAAGGCAGTTCTGGGCATTTCCTGCCCCTTGGGTTTCCCAGGTAAAAGAACCTGCCTGCCAATGCCGGAGATGTAAGAGACACAGGTTCAATTCCTGGGTCAGGGCATGGCAACCCACTCCAGTATTCTTGCCTGGAGAATCCAATGTGCAGAGGAGCCTGGTGAGCTAAAATCCACGGGATTGTAAACAGTCGGACACTGAGCAACTGAGCACACAGGCCTGCCCTTTGAGGCCAAGTTCACAGACTTGGCTCTGAGCTGGAGCCACTTTCAGAAATCAGGGGCCAGAGATGTTTGCAGGCTGGTCCAGTGCCTACTTTTTGGGGAAAAAAAAAAATTACTCATTTTATGTGTTCTTAATAAGAAACACACACAAGCACGCACACACACACACACACTTTTAAAAACATACCCAATTCCTTAAAATTTCTCTGAAATGGCAACAGGAAGGTCGAGATGAGCCAGGCCGCTTAAATCAGTGCTATCCTGTGAGCAAAGCTTGACAACGGACAGAGCGTGCCGCTCCCTGGTCCCCAGACCATGTGCTTTGCCAACTGCTCCGCTTCCAGGCAGCCGAGAGTGTGCAGACACACAGACTCACACACACAGACTCACACTCACAGAGTCACACACACAGACTCACACACAGAGTCGCACACACACACTCACACACTCATTCAGTCACATACTCACATACACACACAGTCGCACACTCTCTCTCACATACACACATGCTCACACACACGCTCACGCACACACTCACACACACATACACACTCACACACACACACTCACACACACGCTCACACACACACACACTCACACACACACTCACACACACACACTTCTTTTCATTTTGGAAAGCAGCCGCGATTCCACTTGGGGCCCCTTGAGCCCATTCTCTGCGATTCAGCTCAGAGGCCCCAGGCCCACATGGGTGGCCTGGCCGGCTGCCGCGCCCACCCCCACCTGGTGCAGGCGTCACCCTCCCAGCCAGGGTGTGTGTCTCTTCTTTGGGCTGACGGGCCCCGCACGTCCTAGTTTCTGTAGCGGGGGAGGGAGAGGCGGGAAGGGCAGGGCGGATGAGTCCCCCTCCTCCCACTCCCAGGCAGGGTGCTCGCTCAGGGCTCTCTGGAGACGGGACGGCTGCAGACCCAGCGGGCACAGAATGGTCCAGAGGCTCCAGGGGTGTGTGCAGCTCCTCACGTCACACCTGCCGGCGGGGCCGGACGCTCCCGCTGCTTTCCTCTGAACGCACTCTCCCGCCGTGGTCCAGACTCCGGGGAGCCCGTGGTGCTCCCCCGTGTGCGGGGCTCAGCTGTGCGGTGCGACTCTGGGCGTCTGTTTGCAGGAGGTCTCACCTCTCGGGCCCGCACCCGATGGGCCGTCGCTGCAGAGAGCGCTGTGTCAGGGGAGGAGGGGTGTCTGCCATGCACCCAAAAGGGGGGCATGGGATCCACACCCTGGCACGTGTCTGAAGGGACCCTGTGATGTCACGCTTAGGAGAGTACATTGTGCGCGACCAGTTTTCCCGGCCTTGAGCCAAAAATAGTTATTTGCACGTACCAGTGTTTCTAGAGCTTGACACATCTTTACCTACCAGGGTGATGGGCTCAGCGGACCAGAAGGCAGATACCCATGTTCTTACCTGTGCAACTATATACCTGCTGGCCAGGAGAGGATGGGCCGGGGCAGGCAGAGGGAGCGGGAGAGAGAGGTGCCTGCATCTGGCACGGCTGGGCCCCCCATAGGAGAGGAAGGTGCCCAGTGTCTGGTACGGCTGGGCCCCCGTGGGAGAGTGAGATGCCTCACGTCTGTCTGGGCCCCTGTGGGAGAGAGAGGCGCCCCGAGTCTGGCAAGGCTGGGTCCCCGCACCCAGGCTTATAAAAGCACACTGTGGGCAGGGGAGGGGCCCGCAGCCCCTGTTGATACCCTGGTCCGGGTAGGCGTGGTAACTGTTGGATTTCCCACAAGTCTTCTCTAATCTTTGCGAGTGTCCCACAGGTAAGGGTGGGGTGGGTCCCTGGGTGGAGCTCCCAGGAGCTAGCCTGTCACCCCTGTTCCCCTCCACCGGGCCCTTCCTAACTCTCTCGGGGTTTAGTCCTGCCTGAAATCCCTGCAAACTCAGGAGAGTGTTTCCGGCAGCCGGTCAAGTGTGTGTGCAGACGCTCTGGGCGAGTCTGGGAGACCCGCCGGCTGTCCTGGCCCTCTTCACCCAGCGCCCTGCGGTCTCCTCGGGGCGCTGTTCCTGGAGGTTATCAGACCTCCACGCCATCTGGGAAGCCTCAGCTGCTGGATCCGGAAGGTGGGTTTACACTTCGCGATGTGCAGGGCGGGACTCAGCCGCCAGCCCTCTCTTGCTGGGGTTCAGCCCACGCTGCTGAAGCCGGAGCTTGAAGACCTGGGCTGAGCTGTTTCGTTATCCAGGACGCAGGCATTCTGAAATCCGCAGAAACGGCACAGGCTAGAGTCAGAGGTGACGGGTCCACATCCCAGACACCCGCTCCTTCCACCTGTCTCCTTTCTCACCTAAAAATGCAGGTGGTCTTACTGGGAAGATGCGGTGTGTTCGTGCTTCTTACATTTTTGTCCCTACGCAGCTCTACCAATGAGGGCCGTCAACCCGGCCCCAACCTGTTGCATCCATTTAATTGTCAGCTCAAGTGAGTGGCAACTTTCACATAAGCGACCCTTTGGCCAGCTTTGCTCCCTGTCTTTATTCCAGTGGGGTTTCCGCTTTTCTTTTTATAACCCACAGATTTTCCCAAATCGATTATTTCTGAAGGACAACGTGCTGGTCATTAGATCCGTCCCTGAGAAAAGATCACGTTGTTGCCGGAAGCTCTGTGTCCAGCGGTGCTGCCCACGCAGTTTGCAAACTGGCCCCTACGAAGTTTCCGCAGGCTGTGGGTTTGGGACTCAGTAAGGGAAAAGGAGGACGTGTCCTACACTTCACTTTGAGGTCAAGAACTTAAACTTAGGCCACATGGTTTAATGGCGAAGAGAGTGTAATGCTGGCCAGGGGCCCCTCGGGGCGGGGACTTGGTTTCAAGAGCAGGAGTCAGGGGCTGGGGCCCCTCAGGAAGCCCCAGAGCCCAGGGCTGCCTGCCTGCGAACCTGGGGGTACTCCTCCCCTGCACAGGCCCTGGATGCTCTTCCCGAGAAAGGCTGCTTCTGGGTCTGGGCTGCCTGGGACATGCAGGCTGGAGCCAGGTGGGTCCGGCTGGATCCGGGCGGCAGCTGCCATGCCCAGGGCAGCTGATGGGGGTGGGGAGAGCTGGGTGAGCCCAGTGTGGCCGTCAGGGGCCCAGAACCCAGAAGGCGCTTCAGAAACTCAGGTCAGGCAGGCGCGGCTGCTGGAGCCAGGCCTGGGAGGACACGAGCCGTGGGCTCTGGTGCCGAAGGATCAGATGGGCCTCCAGGGCAGGCGGGGTGCTAAAGGCAGGATGCCACCCACCCCGTAATGGCCAGGCAGGCGGGCGGGGTGCTGCAAGGCAGGATGCCACCCACCCCGTAATGGCCAGGCAGGTGGGCGGGGTGCTGCAAGGCAGGATGCCACCAACCCCGGAATGGCCAGGTGGGCGGGTGGCTGGCCTGTGGCTTCTCACGACGGTGGGTTTTCCTGGTTTACGATTGGTTTTGACTCTACCAGGCAGCCCAAGCCATCCCACGGTGACAGGGAGCCCTCTGCACGATGCCCGTGTTAGATGGACGGCTCTCTCAGGGCCCCGCTGCCCCCGCAGCAGGAAGAGCGTCCGGGCCTGAGGGGGGCTTCGGGCCTCGGTGAGTCCTGGCTCTGCCCTCAGAGGGCCGGGGGAAGCCTGCGTGAATCACCCTGGGCCCATGCAGCTGCAGGAGCCTGGCATTTCATTGGTCTGTGTGTCAACGTGTTCCCCACCCTGCATCAGGATTTATAGCAGAGGATGCCTCCGCCCCGGAGACAAGACTCCCGACCTCAGCCTGAACTGAGCAGAAGTTTCACCAGCCTGGGAGAAGACGGAGCATGCCAGCCGTGGGGATCCTGCAGGCCCCGTCCTGGCCCTTGCTGGCCTGGCTGTGATGTGGACTGTGAAAAGCCCTAAGCTCGGGGTCACTGCTAGCCCCCAGCCTGTGGGTAGGTGGGTCCTGGCAGGAGGGGGAGCCGGGAGGAGCCCCCTCACAGTCACCGACCTGCAGAGACAGCCTGGCCCCCAGGACAAAGGCCAGGGGTCTTCCCCCCAGACTCTCCTTGCAGCAGAGCCTGAGTCGCAGGGCGGTGGGTCGCGGCGGGGGGGGGTTGGTCCAGGGCACAGGGCAGGGCCTCCACACCCCGCCTGGCGCAGAAACCCCGCGCTTTCCTGGTCTAAAAAACCATGGCCTGGAGCCTTGAGACCTGAGTTTCACCAAACAGGGCAGGGGAAACCCGAACCCCGGCCCGCATCCCTCCTTGCTCCCGGGAAGCGGGCCAGGCGCTGCTCTAACAGGTCAGGCCAGCCTGCAGCTTCTTTAACACCACACTCCTGCTCAGGTCCCGTGATGAGACAGAGCTGCCGCCGCGGTGCGACCCAGAGAGCAGCCAGGGCGCCCAGCCCCGGGGGTCCCTCTGGAAAGGCCTCCTCCCGCCCCGCCCCTCCAGGCTCCAGAGTTCACAGCAGAGGGGTCCGCAGGCAAGGCGGGTCCACGGGGAAGGTGGGTTGGCGGGGGAGGCGGGTCCAGGCTCCCCTCCGACAGCCAGAGGCCCTGCCCGACCCGCAGGCAAAGACAAGAGGCCCTGACGTCACCAGGCACTTACCTGGCATGGAAGCCCACTGCCTTTCTTTTTTCCTGTTTTTATTTTTAATGATGACTAACATGTCACATGATGTACTCACAAATGAGGAGGAAATGATCAGATCCAAGGTTGCGCTTCTTTTAGTGGGAAAAATAATCCCTGGGACTACCGTCTTTTTAAAACAGGTTTTTGCAGTATATTATTCGCTTACTGGCTGCACTGACCCTCATGGCGGCTCGCGAGCTTTCTCTAGCTGCCGTGCGGGGGCTTTTCACCGCCAGTGGCGTCTCCTGCTGCGGCCCGCAGGCTCCAGAGTGGGTGGGACTCCGTACTTGCCGGGTGCAGGCTTAGTTGCCCTGCAGCACGTGGGATCTTAGTTCCCGGACCAGAGATAGAACCCGTGTCCCCTCAGGCAGATTCTTAACCACTGGACCACCGGGGACGTCCCTGAAACAGATTTTTGCAAAGACTTTATTAAGTCATGTTCTGTATATCATAAAATCCACTTATTTCAAGTGTACGATTCAGTAATTTTTGAGTCACCTTGCTAAGCTGTGCAGCCATTCCCATACATTAGTTTTAGAACCTATCACCCAACGAGATCCCTCACATACATGTACAGTTAACCCCGTCCACCTCCCCTGCCTTTTCAGGGCGATTCATCTAAATGCAGCTGCAGCACACGGGGTCCTGTGTCTGTCTTCTTTCACTTGGCCTCATGTTTGAGGTTTTTCGTGTGATAACATGTATCAGATACTCAGTCCTTTTTTTTGCTGAGAAATAGCTGACTGTAGGACTGTATCACACGTTGTTTATCCATCACTCTTGATGCATAACGTTGGTGTTTTCCTTTCTCTTGGGTCAATACCTGAGCATGGAGACACTCAGTCACATAGTAAATGTCTGTTTAACTGTTAAACTGCCAAACTGTTTTCCAAAGTGGCTGCATCATTTACATTCCTGCCTTCAGTGAGGGAGGTTTCCTGTTTCTCCACATCTTCAGCCACATTTCGTTGTTTTGTTTTGTTTTTTAAGCCATTCTGGTGGTTCGTGAAGGACCATCTCACTGAAGTTTTGATTTGCATTTCTCTAGGGACTAATGAGAAGACTCTTGAGAGTCCCCTGGACAGCAGGAGATCCAACCAGTCCATCCTAAAGGAAATCAGTCCTGAATATTCATTGGAAGGACTGATGCTGAAGCTGAAGCCCCAATACTCTGGTCACCTGATGCAAAGAACTGACTCATTGGAAAAGATCTTGATGCTGGGAGGGATTGAAGGCGGGAGGAGAAGGGGACGACAGGGGATGAGATGGTATGGTGGCATCACCGACTCGATGGACATGACTTCGAGTAATCTCCGGGTGTTGGTGATGGACAGGGAGGCCTGGTATGCTGCAGTCCATGGGGTCACAGAGGGTTGGACACGACTGAGCGACTGACTGAACTGAACTGAAACGATCACTGTCTCTAGTTTCTGTGAGTCAAGAGCCCAGCCACAGCGGCTTGGCCCTGTACTGGGGCCTCTCATCTGAGGCTTGTGGGGCTGCAGTCATCCAACGGGTTATTCGGGGCTGGGAGCCCCTCTCCCAGGATGGGTTCTGTGACCAGTTCTTGTGTGTGTGTGTGTGCGGGGTTTTCCCACCACGAGCCACAAGGAGCCAGTCTCCAGGACCAGCTGGGTGTCCCGAGTTTAACTCGATTCTGACACTGCCCAGAGCAGCAGACCCCGGGGGAAAGGCCCCCGTCCTGCAGACTGTCCCCCTGCCACCCCCGCCGCAGATGCCAGCTGCCTGCGGTTCTGACCGACCCGCTCTAGACAGAGGGTCCAGCGCCTCCCACCTTGGGTCTGATTGACCTCTAAAGCAGCTCACAGAACCCAGGGAAAGATTTGCTTACTCTCCTAGCTTGTCACGGAAAGACGCGATGAGGACACAGAAACGTCTGGATAGAAGAGATGTGCACGGCAGGTGTGGGGCGGCCAGGCCCCACACCGTCCCCAGGAGCCCTCCCCACACCTCCGTGTGATCACCAGCCTGGGGGTTCTCTGACCCCTCTGCTTCTGGGATTTTGGAGGCTTCATCACGCAGGCACGAAGGATCACAAGCTCCGTTTTTAGCCCTTCTCTAGGGAAGGAGTTGGGCTGGGTCTTTCTGGTGACCAGCCCCCACCCACATGCCCACCTGGAGTCACCTCCCTAGACCAGAAGACACGCCCATCACCCAGGAAATTCCAAGAGGCTTAGAAGCTCTGCCTAGGGGCTGGGGTCAAAGATCAAGTATGAGAGCGGAAGAGGTCCCCTCTGTTCTTATCACTAGGGAAGTCCGGAGAGTTTCCGGAGCCGCCGTGTGTCGGGGTCGGGGAGGCAGCCTGGCACACATTTCCTCTCCTCTCATCGCCGGCAAGCGGGGCTGCTGTCCGCCTCAGCACCTCTCCAGGTGCTATTCTCAGTACCATCTGCTGGTCCGAGGGCGTGGTGTCTGCTTTCCCGGAACACCTGGCCCAGGAGGCCAGGGTGGGGCTCCTCCGTGTTCAGGCAGACCAGCCCCGACAGAGGCAGGAGGGCTTGGATTTCCAGAAAGCAGAACCCTTGGGGCCCCCTTGGGGCTGCCTTCCACACGGGCTTGTTGCCGGCAGATGAGACTCATGGATAAAGACGGTCTGTAAACAGCCATCACTGCCTGCTGTCCACACACACAGTCAGGCCTTGCTTTGTGCTGCATTTGTGCCCCACCTGCCGAGGGTAAGAACAAAAAGCAGCATCTCTTCCCAGTTAAACTAAATCATCATCTGGGGGTTGAAGCTCTCAGAGTGGAACCTGGGACCTGAACTTAACACCAAACCACACTGTGTCATGGGTTTACCTTCACCCAGAGTCCACTGCGATCAGGAAAATGCCCACCCCACCCCCTGAGCCAATGGGTGGTTGTGGGGTGGGGGAGGAGGCCGAGGGGAGACGGAGATGACCCGATAACCAGCACGGAATTCGAGGATTTCAGGGAAGGGCTCAGTGCAATGTTGGTCCGGGTTTGAGGGGCAGCAGGAACCACGGTTCAAGCTGGGTGGTGATCATGGCCATGAAGACGTTGTTGGACCAGGACCAGTCAAAGATGGTGAGTGTAGTTACCCACTGAATTCTCACTGCGACCTTGAGGAAGACATCACGGTCACTCCCACTATACAGACCCAGAGACCCAGGCACAGACAGAGAGGCCCAACATCCCCTCAGAAGTGTGTGAGAACACGGCAGGTTTGGGGTCTGGATTCAGGCGTCCTGAGTCCAGGCACTTACCCACCATGTGGCCCTGGGTCTCCCGGCTTGTCCCGCCTGGAGCCTGCAAACACGGTCACCAAGGGCACCGTGACATCCACAGCAGCTACATCACATGGGGTGAGGCTCCCCGAGGCCCCTCAGACCTCACACTTCCTGCACCTAGAAATCTGAACCTTCCTCCTGCAAGCTGGACAAGCCCGGCTTCCAGGGCGGATCCCTTGCCAGCTCCCCGGGGCTTCTGTCTCACCTTAGGAAGAGCCCAAGGCACGCCGTGTTGTATCAACATCTGACTTGGATCTCACGAAGTTTTCTGAGCACAGGCACACAATCCAGCTACACACTTAGAGAATATCTCGCTGCATCCGAGTTGCACCTGCATTTTTTTCCTCACTGCACCATCGAGCTTGGGCGACATCGCAGTGTTATGGGTGAGGCCACGGATGCAACAGAGTCCTGGGAAAAACCCCGGTAAAGTGGCTTTGATCAAAACCACTACTTACATTCTGGTACCTGATGGGTTAGGTTCAAATCTTGGTGCTGACATGTCCCAGCTTGGGGACCTGTAGAGACAGGAAGTGCCTTCTCCCATCCCTGCCTGGGACTGTCTACAGGGCCAGCACAGTAACCAAATGTGGGGTGCGGGCTTGCTCGGGGAAGTCCAGCGGTTAACACGGACGCCCATGGCCAATGCCTGGTCGACATTCAGCAAGCGCGAGGAACGGTTTTTCCGGATCTCGGGCAGCTGTGAGCTCAATGGCCAACGCCTGATCGACATTCAGCAAGCGCGAGGAACAGTTTTTCTGGATCTCGGGCAGCTGTGAGCTCAATGGCCAATGCATGATCGACATTCAGCAAGCGCGAGGAACAGTTTTTCCGGATCTCGGGCAGCTGTCAGCTCAATGGCTCACCATCATTTGGAGCACCGCTAAAAAAGGAAAAAACAAGGGACAGTTAAATAATGCCTCTCCACTGACTATAAGACACATCCAATTTTGGAGACGGTAGAGTTGGGGGAAATGTATGTCTGCAAGTGGCTGACACATGGTGTTGCCTCTGTGCCCGGCAGTCTGCCAGGAAAACGGGAGCAGTGGACTGCGACCCACAGCCGTGGTGGCGGAACAAGAGTGAGACGTTCCGGGGCACCGTCTCTGAACACAAGAGGGAGGGGCCCTGGACGAGGGATGGTGGGGTGAAACCTGGGAAACGGAGCCGGGTCTGAATCACGCCCACCTTCACGTGGTCACACCTGTTCACCCAGTCTGGAAAGCCCAGTGAGGAGAGCAGAAGCTAGAATCGCTGTCAGGCGTTGAGACTTTTGTTCCATCTGCTCTCATAGACACTGCTGATCAGGGCCTACACGCCAGGTGTGTTGTCAGGCTCTCTGGGTGAGAGTAAGGCACGAACTCTGCCCTCAAGGAACCTTCTCTCCAGCAAAGAGACAAACAGCGATGACAGCTGCCCGCCGAGAAAGGAGACCCACACTCACTGCAGGTCACTGTTTCAGAGCGATTTCGTCGGCAGTGGATTCCCACAAAACCCACAGGCGAGGCAGGTTTACTGTGATGGAAACACTAATGCGGGCCAGTGATCCAGCCTCCGGCCTTGGCTTATTTCTGTTTTTAATGCATCCTTTTCCCTCAATTATTCACTTTTGCCCTATGGTAATCTGTTTGTATTGGAGAAGGAAATGGCTACCCATTCCAGTATTCTTGCCTGGAGAATCCCAGGGACAGAAGGGCCTGGTGGGCTGCCGTCTGTGGGGTCACACAGAGTCAGACACGACTGAAGTGACTTAGCGGCAGCAGCGATCTGTTTGTATGGGGCTTCCCCAGTGGCTCAGATGTAAAGAATCTGCCTGCAATTCAGGAGATGCAGGAGATGTGGGTTCGATCCCTGGGTCGGGAAGATCCCCTGGAGGAGGGCATGGCAGCCCACTCCAGTGTTCTTGCCTGGAGAATCCCATGGACAGGGGAGCCTGGTGGGCTACGGTCCATAGGCTGCAAAGAGTCAGACATGACGGAAGCGAATAAACACACAGGCTCGCAGTCTGTTTGTGTAAGCCTCTCTAACTCTTCCCTGGGATGATGAGCAGGAATAATAGCTACGCAAAACAAAATGACATGATACATTCTTCCCAAGGCTAGACAAATACTTCCTGTATCCCCAGCATTTCTATCTGTAGATGGTGGCAAAGTGGAGGGAAAATAGCAACAGTGGAGCACATAGAAACAGCAGGAAGGTAGCGTCACGACCTCCGTGATACCCCCAAGCCTTGTGGCTGGGGGGGGTCCCTCCGCTCCTCTCAACGGCTCTCCTACCCCGAGCTCAGGGGTGGGGGCTGGTCTGCAGGGCTGAGAAGGCTGCTCCTCCCCTCCCAGGCTTCTTCCCAATGCAGTCGCAGAGAGACCCCTGGGTGGGGGACAGCTAGGTGCTACGGTCCCTCTTCTCTACCACGGGAGATAGGTGTAGGCTGAGAGTGAAAACAGACTGTTTAACAGTGATTGTCTCCTCTTCATATTCCCTTTAATATTATTGATAAATCATTTTCTTTAAACAGGATAAAGAACATGTTTTCCCCCAGGTTGCAGTCGATCAAGCACCATGATCCCAGCAGCCTCTGAACATCGGAGGCTCAGGCTTCTGGCAAAGGCCACAGGATGTGGTGAGCAGACAGTAGGGGTCGGGTTGGGGGCGGGAGCAAGGACACGGAGGGATTGAGGAGGGGCCCCAGCTGCTCGTGGGCTCAAAGCGCGCTTGGCCCCAACACAGTGCAAAACCAAAGTGAATTCCACAGTGGACAGTTCAAACCTCACTGCACTGATGTAGCTGACTTCAGAGGGTCTCCATCAACCCACTGGCCGTGAGAAGAACCCACTCAGACAGGGCGTCACAGACACTGAAGGGGCCGCAGCTCTTTCCCCATTAAACAAGAGAGGGTCAGCTTCAGGAAACGGTGAGTCAAACACCTGCCAAGCAGACTCCTCCGAAGGAACCCTCCTCTTCCGCCTCCTACAGGGGGTCCCTCCATAGGTATTAAATGCCCCCAAAATGACCCATGTTCGGAGTTATATTTAGAGACTCTGGCATGGTAGGATTCAGGAAAACGAGGAAAATCAAGGGGCCTAGTGAAATAGGACAGCAGTGTGAGTGCTGCAGTCATCAGCAAATGACAGATACTATGTAACATGGATGCTATATGCAGTAGGAAGTATAAAAATGTACTGTAAAAGGTGATCTATCCTTAAGACACTCTCCAACTCTCCTTAGTTGGAAAGATAAAAATTTATACGATGAAACAGAAATAAAACGTCAGCAGATGGCTTAATTCAACATCTTGTATAGATGTTAAATCTGTCAAAATCATCACTCCACCAATATTACCAAGATCACCACAATCACCACCATCACCATCACCACCATCACCACCATGACCATCACCACCACCACCATCACCACCACCACCACCATCACCACCACCACCACCACAACCATCATCACCATCATCACCATCATCACCATCACCACCATCACAACCATCACCACCATCATCACCATCACCACCATCACCACCATCACCACCACCATCACCATCACCACCATCACAACCACCACCACCATCATCACCATCATCACCATCACAACCATCACCATCACCACCATCACCGCCATCATCACCATCACCACCATGACAACCATCACCATCACCACCATCACAACCACCACCATCACCACCATCACAACCATCACCACCATCACCACCATCACAACCATCACCACCATCATCACCATCACAACCATCACCACCATCACAACCATCACCACCATCATCACCATCACCACCATCACAACCATCACCATCACCACCATCACAACCACCACCATCACCACCATCACAACCATCACCACCATCACCACCATCACAACCATCCCCACCATCATCACCATCATCACCATCACAACCATCACCACCATCACAACCATCCCCATCACCACCATCATCACCATCATCACCATCACAACCAGCACCATCATCACCATCACAACCATCACCATCACCACCATCACCACCATCACCATCACCACCATCACCACCATCACCACCACCATCACCATCACCATCACCACTACCATTACTATCACCACTACCATCACCACCATCACCGTCATCATCACCATCACCATCACCAGGACCCCACTATGGCATGAGCATCCCCTGTTGCCAGGCTTGATGCTCCACAATTCACATGCATTGTGTTACCTGCTTTTCACAAAGACCCTCTACATTGACCTGGCCTTTTAACAATAAGGTAATAAAGACTTAGGAAATTCATGACTGGACCACAGTCATCATTTGGTCAGTGTTAGTTCCAGGCCTTGAGCCAGGGCTGGACTGATTTCAAAGACTGTATCCCTAACCTTTCCTCTTCCCTGAACCCCAATCCCCCCAGCAGAGCCCACTGCTCAGGTTGGCAAAAAGAAAGTAGTAGTAGAAAGAACATCTCCTCCAAATACATAAACAGTGTATGTCTGCAGTGCTTTTTTCCCCTTCCAATTATTTAATTTTTGGAAAAACTCTGTTTGCATCTAAGCAATTTACTTTAAAAAATCCTCTGATTTCTTAAGTGGCACATACATAAATGAAGCTAAAATCCTTGTAAAATGATTCATTGAATACTTGAGAAAGATGAAAACAATCAGTTCTGACAAGGCTGGAATTCAAGGCTCACTTGCCTGGGTTGTCTTTGTAATTTCACCCCATATAAATCATCCTTGTTTTCTGCCATCGTGGGTTTATCAGAGACATTCTTGCCCAGTAATTCATCCTGAACACACCAGGCTTTACCTTTGGAGAAGTAATTAAACACTGCCCGGCTGAAAGAGATAAAGATTTAGCATGCCTTATACATGGAGATTAGAATGTAAACACAGAAATCTCAATTAATCTTCTAACCTGTAGGTCAGAAGGTGGGGGCTCCCAGTTATAAGGAGAAGGCAATGCCATTTCCTACAGACCCGTCCAGCTGGTGACAGAGTTCAGGGCACGGTGATTAGTTCCCGGGACAGGAAAAGCCGAGGCGGGGCGGTTCATTCCTGAAGAAACCTGTGCCCCCGGCTAACCCAGAGGCTAAGCATGAGATGGGGTCAGAGACAGCCCTCTGGCCAGCTGCAAAGCAATCTCCAGTCTCCAAGAAACCCCTGCTCGATGAAAGGGTGCCCAGGAGAAGCAAGGGTGTGAGGGAACAGAGGGGGCATCCCCAGCCTGGACGCTCATGGGGCCGTCTGAGTTCAGATGGGCTTCCAGACACACCGCCTGGCCTCAGATGAGCAGCCCCAGGATGACGCCAGGGAGCCAGGAGGGGTGGCGGGTGCTGGCCCAGCCTCAGTCTGTCTGCCCTGGGCCCTGAGACCCCAGGGGGCCACCCTGCCCCGTGTTCTGGTCCTCGGGGCTCTCGATACCCTGTCTCCACCAGCCCATGATGGCCCAGGACAGCCTCCTTTTACCATGCCTCCCCCTTCCCCCAACTGTGCTGATCTTCCGTGTAAAATGTAGAAATTACAGGGGGCTTCCCTGGGGGTCCTGTGGTGAAGACTTTGCCTTCCGGTGCAGGGGGGTGTGAGCTGAATCCACAGTCAGGGGGCGAAGATTCCACATGCCTCGTGTCCAAAAATCCAAAACAGAAGCGATATTATAACAAATGCAACAAAGACATTAAAAATCAGACGGACAGGGCAGCCTGGCGTGCTGCAGTCCATGGGGTCGCAAAGGGTCAGACCCAACTGAGCGACTGAACATCAACGACATCAAAAAAATCTTTTTTAAAAAAGGTGAAAAGTGCACGTCGAAACACGTATATTATCTAGGGTGAAACAGATCACCAGCCCAGGTTGGGTGCATGAGACAAGTGCTCCGGCCTGGTGCACTGGGAAGACCCAGAGGGATCGGGTGGAGAGGGAGGTGGGAGGGGGGACCGGGATGGGGAATACATGTAAATCCATGGCTAATTCATCTCAATGTATGACAAAAACCACTGCAATGATGTAAAGTAATTAGCCTCCAACTAATAAAAATAAATGAAAAAAAAAAAAAAGGTGAAAAGTGTAGTCAAGCCTCGGGATGGGTTGGAAAACTTAGAATCAAAAAGCTTACATCTCCAGGAGTTTTTAATGAAACATCAGCCCCTGCTTGCTCCTGGAGGTGAGTCCCCACGAGCTGCTGAGTGGACGGCAGCCTGTGTGCGCCGGCGAGTCTCCCCCAGGTTCTCAGCCCAGCAGGCGGCGGGGCGAGGCGGGGTGGCGGGCTTGCTGCTCTGGGACCAAGGCCCTGACTTTCCGCCTCTCCCCCACATAGTCATCTTCAGCACAAGGAGCAGAAACGAATCTCCTGGCATCTTCATAAGCCTCAGTGAAGCTGCTGACACAGGCGCCAGCCAAGGTGTCCCCAGAATCCATGTACCGCCCAGGGCCGCAGCTGTGGACTCACTGGGAACTAGGGTCATGGCAGCTATCCTGGTTAAGTCACAGTGAGCCGCAGCCTGAAAGAGGGGCCCCTGGCCTGTGTGACTGGTGTTCTCCAAAGAAGAGGAGACACACAGCTCGGGAGGGGCCCCGTGAGACGCAGACACAGGAGCGGCGTGTCTGCAGGCAGGAGCACCGAGGAGGGGTGGGGGCGCCCCGCCAGGGCCAGGAGGCAGAGCAGAGGGGGCTCGGCCTGCCCACGCCTTGACGCGGGACGAAACCAGGAAGGAAGCCGCGTCTGCTGTTTGAGGCGGCCCGGTGAATAGCACTCAGCAGTGACCGCCTGGGGGTCCACCACGACCCCTGGCAGCAGAGTTTCAGGGCTCAGCCCACCAGAGTTGGCATTGTTGTTTAGTCACGCAGTCGTGTCCAGCTCTTGTGACCCTGTGGACGGTAGCCCACCATGCTCCTCTGTCCGTGGGATTTCTCAGGCAAGAGTACTGGAGGGGGTTGTCATTTCCTTCTCCAGGAGACCTTCCCGACCCAGGGGTCGAACCCGCATCTCCCGTGCTGCAGGCAGATCCTTTAGCACCGAGTCACCTGAAGCCCCCACAGGAGTCGACCCCCATGTAACCCAGTGCTGGAGCCCCTGAGACCCAGTCCCGCCCACTCGGGCCGCTGGCCTGGACTCAGGCACCCTCTGGGCCACTGCAGCTCAGAGCGGCGGCCTGCTCAGCCAGCTGTGCCTCCAGACCCAGGCCTGGTTCCACGGCGTCTCCCTGCTCCAAGGCTCTGCGGCTCCTTCCCGACCCCATTTGCTCATCGGGAAGAGCCTGTCACTGTACCCGCCCAGTAACCTTCAGACTTCCTGCCTGCACCAGGGAACGCCTGGCCAATTAGCCTCTAGTTGATTTTAAAACATCCTTTCAGGAGGCCTCATTTCCTGCTAATATTTGGGTCCCAGTGCCTGGGAAGTGGCAGATGTCATATTTGTTGAAAAAATGAATGAATGAATAGACAAGCCCATGAGTAAATCAAAGGACACTCTTCTTTCTTGGAAATGACAAACTTCCACCCGGTGTCATCAGGACAGCCTCCCCCATCCTTCCCCCCTTCCCCTGCCCGCCCTGCACTTTGCACAGCAATGGGCCCAGGCCAGCCAGTGGCCGGAGCTCCAGGAAGAGGCTGAGCAAGGCCGTCAAAAGAGCAGAGACGGGGACAGGAGCTGGCTGTCCAGAGGGCGGTGCGGCCTGTCACAGCGTCACTCACTCACGGCTTTTCCAGAAGGACGGGCCCCACAGCACCACTGTGGGCAGGCGACCTGATGTCCCCGGCTCAAGCCCATGCTCTGAAGGGCTCCCCACAGAGGGGCGGCTCAGGGCCGTCTGCCTCTGTGTCTCCCTGGCCTGCTTTCACTCCCTTGGAGACCCTTGAACGGTCAAGGTTATGTGTCCACTCTGGCAGATCGTGTGCCAGTGTCTGGCCAGACAGTCTGCACGTCTATGAGCGTATCTGCAAAGTGTGATTACGGTCAAACCTGCAGAGGAGAGCTGGTGATCATCCAGACATGGTGGGCCTCACCCCAATAGTCAAAGAGCTTAAGAGGAAAAGACTGGAGTCCCGGGAGAAGGTGGGCTTCTCCTCCAGACACCTTCAGACTGGACCCAAGACGCCTGCTCTTCCTGCGCCTGCAGCCCAGCAGCCTGCTCTACACATTTCAGCCCTGCCAGTCCCACAGAGCGCCCCCCTCGCATGCACACACACCCACACACACGCGCACACACACATGCGCACACACAGTCCATTGGCTCTGTTTCCCTGGGGAACCCTGACCCAGGCCATCTCCCTGCAGCACTGGCTCTGCTGGAGGATTTGGGGTACGGCTACTCACTCTGATTCTCAATTTGCTCATCTAGAAAATGGGAAAGATAATACATACATCACAGGTTAGATGAGATGGGAGATGTAAAAGTACTTTGTAATAAACTGTCTCTGCAAAGTTATCATTTCCAACTCTCGACCTCCCAGGATGAAAGGCTGTGCCGCCTTCCTCTCCGGCAGGGCTCCACCCCTGTGCCCCACCCCTGGGGCCTCTGGAGTCTCTGACAGTCCAGTGTGGGCCTGTGGGGTCCCCTGCCTCCCCAGGCCTGACACTTTCATCCTTTCGCCATCATCCCCCAGCCCCCACAAGTTCACAGCATGTGAGACAGTGAATCAGGATGTGCTGACCCAGGGGGAGGATCAGGAGTGATCACGGCCTATTCAAAGACGCCTGTAACTAGAACATCAGAAGGAATGTTTCTCAAGCTGCTGCTACCTGTCTGCAAGATGGAGATGCCGAGTCGGGCGGCACCTTCAGGGCTGTCAATGCCCATGGGCCGGTCGCTGGAGGTGACCAGAGACAGCTGGGCAGCCTGCCCCTCTGCCCGGGGTGCGCAGGCTGGAGGTGAGTGCTGCCCGCCCCCTGTGTGGCCAGGACCGCAGCGGGGCTGGGGCGGGGGTGACTCAGCCTGCTGTGCTCCAGCACCTAGTCCTGTCTGGGGGACTAGGTCCTGTCTGGGGGTGGCAGATGCCACCCGTCACTGGACCGAAGCGACAGGAAAGCTTCCACGGGCATGCGGATCCTGCTTCCTAGGTGGGCTCCCGCGTGCCCAGGGCGCGGGCTCCCTGAGTCCAGGGAGATGGACCCACAGCAGCATGTACATTTCTGGGCCTCGCCTCCCACCAGCCCTCCGGGGCCGCGGTGCCAGAATCACTGAATGTCACACTGGCGGGTGTCCTCGGAGACATTTGAAAAGTTCACCCGAAATTTAGAGAGACGCTCGCGGATTCCTATGGTCAAGTACAACTTTCCCCAGATATATCAATAAAACTCACAAAGTGCTTTGCAAGTGGTGGCTGGAAGGGTGGGTTGGTTGGAGAGGGGAGAAGGATAGCAGGAAGCTGGGCCTCCCCATTCCCACAGCAACCCCGAGGGTCCCACGGAACTGGCTTTGAGAAGCACGTCAGAGGACCAGGAGGAGAAGGAGTCTGCAGACCTGGAACCGGCACAAGGTCACCCCGCCCCCGGTTAGGGGCCCAAGCGGCCTGGCCCCAGCATGGGAGCAAACGTCAGAGGCAGAAAACAGGCCTGCCCCCAACATCCCCCCAGGGACCAGCCCCCTCCGCCTCCGATGCCCACTCCACCTCCACTTCTGAGACGCTGCTCGGCCCGCGATGCTGCCCGGAGGAGTTCCGCCTGCACTTTAAAGCCATCTTGGTCAGCAGGTAGCCAAGGTTCCCTTCGCTCCCTCGGCATCTGCTCCATGGCCCCGGAGCCCGGGCCACGGATTCGGCCCAGGGGGCTGCGCGGGGAGCCGTGAAGAGCCCAGCGTCAGTGCACACCCGGCCCACGTTCCCAGCTCCTCAGTCTTCAGGTTCCCTCAGCCACGTGGCCCTCATGCTTCTGCATCCATAGCACGACTGTGAGGATGACCAAGTCCTCAGCACGCTTCTGCCCGTCCCGAGGGTGCTACGCGGGAGCTCAGCACTTCTTTCCTTCCTGTTGTCTCTCTGGCCCCTCCACGTGGCCGCTGGGTTTCCCAGCCCTTCCTCCCATTCTCTGCTCACTCCCTGGTCTGCTATGCCTGCTGCCTCATTCATGCAGCTCCTGCCAGCCCTCCTGGGCCGAGGCTATAGCCCTGCAACCCTGGCCTTGACTCCAGGCCCCTCACTCCCATCGATCCCCTCACCACACCGCCCTTCCAGGTGGCTCCTCGGCACCTGTGCCCTAGACAAGCATCCCTAGAGTCTGACTTGACCTCGTAGACCAACCTGACTCGCCTGTCCCCCGCCACTGGCTCTGCCCCCAGCCAGGCCAGCCGCAGCTCCCCGACAAGCTCCCCTGGAGTTTCATGTCCAGCTCCAAGGCTCTGCTCCCACCCTTCCTCCAGCGACACCCCCACTTCTGACTCTGCAGACTCTGTATCCTCACGGCCTCCCAGACTTACTGCAGATTTGCATGGCATTCCCCCAAAATGGCCCCTCATCCTAAGACGAGGTTCTTGTCTTTGTTAGCAGCTCCCAGAGAACGTGAGAGGAATCCCGGTTCACGGCCAGTCCTCCTGAGCAGGCCCCTCTGCTGCCCTGGCCGGTTCCCCCGCATCCTGAGTGAAGTCTCCGGGTCTCCTGTTCCCTGGATTCACTCTCCATCCTCCCAGAGACCCCATGTGCTGCCCAGGCAGGCTCCGCTGTCTCCACCCCTGCCCTGAGACTTCCCAGCCTGGAGAGACTGCACACGCCCTCCCCAGACCCCGAGAGGACCTGCACCGTCCCCACCGTCCCCTGGTGGCCTCCTCCCTCCTCGGGGAGCAGGGGGCTCTCATATGTGTATCACCAAATGAGAAATCCTCACGGCCTGGATGAAGGTGAAAATGAAAGTGAAAGTCACTCAGTTGTGTCCGACTGTTTGCAACACTGTCCGTAGAATTCTCCAGGCCAGAATACTGGAGTGGGTAGCCGTTCCCTTCTCCAGGGGATCTTCCCAACCCAGAGATCAAACCCAGGTCTCCTGCATTGTGGGCAGATTCTTTACCAGCTGAGCCTCAAGGGAAGCCCAAGAATACTGGAGTGGGTAGCCTATCCCTTCTCCAGCGGATCTTTCCAACCCAGACTTGAACTGGGGTCTCCTGCATTGCAGGTGGATTCTTTACCAACTGAGCTAATGTCTAATAAAAACAATTCTCCACCTCATTATAAAGGCATGGCCTGTAACGTTCCATGTGGACCGTCCCAAGGTCTCGTAACTGGTTCTTGGTCATGTCTCGCCTTCCCAAGCAGAAGAGGTGCTCCTGAGATCAGCAGGGTCTCGTTTCCCTGGACACCCCAGCCTCACCCAGCAGGTCGCGTAGAGGTTCCACAGACAGTTGTCGGATGGAAGAAAGGGAAGGTGTGCACTGCGGTAGGACCAGACGCACACCTCCTCCTCCCCGCACGCCTCTTAGGAAATCTCAGCTTAAATCACACCGTGGCAAGGCACGGATTCCTTCCAGATCACAGGAGGATTCCAGCCTGTGTCCACAGTGCTTGGTGCTTGCCTTGTGAGCCCTCCCACCCTGGGTTCTCAGACCGTCACTAAACACAAAACACAGTGCAGTTCCATGTGGACGCGGACGTCTGCGGAGACTCACGCTCAGGGTGTGAGCTCCGGGGAGCACGGCCACGCAGAGCGCTGCTTGTGCACATGGTCGGAGCCGGGGATCTTCTCGTAGCGCCAAGAACATCTGGTGTGAGAATGTGGCTCTTCCCTGGACGGGTAGGTTTTAAATACCGAGCTCTGTTAGGTGCCTCATGGGAGACAGGGAGGCTGTAAATTAGAATTTTTCCAAGGTTACAACCACGAGACGTATCACAGGCCTGCACAGATATTTATTGACTTATGTTGCAAGAATATTTTTAAGTGTTAAACATCTGAAATCTGTCGTTTTCCCACACTTATTATTTTAAAGTATAATCTCCCCAACATTCCTCTAAGGGAGGCTGACATGCTGTAATTAAATACAGCGTGGCATGGTGTGACACTGGTGTTTTCTGGGAAGAGCTGTTAGCATGCTATAAAAAGAAAGCATTCCGATCTGGAGACAGACGATGCCCATCCCGCGTCCCTGAGGCAAGTCGACGTGTTTGCTCTGAGTTTCTTGAGGTCAGCAAGTGAGGTTGTCAGAATAACTCTGTGAAAGTGAATCTGCCCAGGAGGTAGCAGAGGCCCCCTTGATGAGCATCAGGAGATCTCGGCCGGCTTGTTCATCTGCTGAGATCACCGGGGCCTTGGGGTTGAGGCGGAGAAATTGCAAAGAAGAGAGCAGGTGTTCTAGAAGACACAGGGAAAATGCACTTCCTTCCTGGCGTGCCAAAAGTGAGTTCCGACAGCGCTAACCCGTCAGGTACTTGATACCAAATTCCCCCGTGGCTGGGAGAAGGAGTTGGTGAGAAGCGTTGACGAGAAGGAGCAAGAGTGAAGAGTGGACCCCGTCCAGCTGTCCTGGGACTGAAGAGGCGGGGGCGCGATAGCCGGTCTGCAGGCAGAACTGGCCACCCGCTGCCTCCACTTGCCTTCAACGTGTTCTCCGCTGTACTGAGACATGTTTTAGCATGTGCTTTAGACTGTGTGATGAATTTGATCCCTAGTCTTCACAAGAGCAGGGCCCCGCCTTCTACCTGGTTCTCGGAGTGAGTGGCCCAGCAGTGCAAAGTCTGCTTGTTTAGGTGGCTGTCTGGCGTCGTTAGCGGAGCTCGGCCCATGGTGGCTTGGAAACCCATGCTGGCTTCTCTTGATTGATGTTTACCTGTTGACCTACAGACCGGTTAGACAGGTCCCAGGTTCTACTCAGGCAAACATTTTGTTTGAGATGTAAAGTGAGGCCTCTGTTCAACTGCATCTGTGTCAATAAAAGCTTAGTAGACTAGAATGAGTATTTTCAACAAAAAGTCTGGCTTACAACTCAACATTCAAAAAACTAACATCCTGGCATCCAGTCCCATCACTTCATGGCAAATAAATAGGGAAACTGTGACAGATTTTCTTTTCTTGAGCTCCAAAATCACTGCGGACAGTGACTGAAGCCTTGAAATTAACAGACACTTGTTCTTTGGAAGTAAAGCTGTGACACACGTAGACAGCATATTAAAAAGCAGAGACATCAATTTGCCAACAAAAGTCCATTTGATCAAAGCTATGGTTTTTCCAGTAGTCATGTATGGAAGTGAAACTTGGACCAGAAAGGAGGCTGAGTGCTGAAGAATTAATGTCTTAGAACTGTGGTGCTGGAGAAGACTCTCGAGTCACTTGGACTGCAAGGAGAGCAAACCTGTCCATCCTAAAGGAAATCAGTCCTGAATATTCAATGGAAGGACTGATGCTGAAGCTGAAGCTCCAATCCTTTGCCCACCTGATGCAAAGAACTGACTCATTGGAAAAGACCCCGATGCTGGGAAAGACTGAAGGCGGGAGGAGAAGGGGACGACAGAGGATGAGATGGTTGCGTGGCATCACCAACTCGATGGACATGAGTTTGAGCAAGCTCCGGGAGATAATGAAGGACAGGGAAGCCTGGCGTGCTGCCGTCCGTGGGGTCGCAAAGAGTCGGTCATGACTTAGCGACTGAGAAACAGCATGAGCATTTTCAACAAAGATTTGTAAACATTTAAGAAAACTGAAAAATTAAAATGTTGGCTGAACATAATGGTTAATAGCTTGATGGTGCTATGACATTTTGAGTGACCAGTCTACTTGTGCATGCACTCACCTGAAGCACTTAACCATGAGTTAGAAGAAACCGGAGGAGAAGGAAACATTGGCTGTGCGTTGCGGGCATTCGCAGATGGGCTCGCGGAGCCCCGTGTCTACCCCTCACTCCAGAAGGAGCACAAGAAGCCCTTAGGAGGTCTCTGTAGCTCCCGACTCATTCCAGCACGAAGATTCAACTCGGGGCCCTGTGTCTCTCATCTCGGGTTCACACGTGGGAAGGTTCTGTATTTCAAGTCCAGATTTCATGTCATAGTTGAATTTTCCATTTCTCTCTGCTTCTGACACCATCCTCACCCCACTGCACTTCCCCAGACACAGGGGGCTTGGGGGAAAGTGAGGGTTAAACTGCCAACAGCGATGGGCAGACCCCCCCGAGATGGAACTTGTGAAAAAGAAAAAACTGTGCCACACCCTGCACTGCTATCCTCACTTATCTGTGTAGATATTTAGCCTCATTATTATTATTTTAGGCACGGGGCTCTTAACATACACAGTGGTCTGCAGCGTTACTCAGATGATCGATAGTTTTGAGCAGAACAGATGCAAGGATGGAGCCCCAGGGCAGACCACAGTTCTTCTCAGCTGGTTGAAACTCCCTCAGGCCGGCTACGAAGTCGCCGAAGGGGTTATTTCTGACCCTTCTCCTCTCCGCTGGTCCTCAGCGGAGGTCAGTGCTGACAACTTGGCACAGGCGGCTTCCCCATCTAGTAAGACACGACACCGGGATGAAGCTGCTTCTTTTAAGTGAGTCAGCGCTTGTTCCTTTCTTTCTTCTTCTTCGTCGTCTTCATTTATTTCGGCTGGGCTGGGCCCTTGTTGCTGCCCAGGCTTTTCTCGGGCTGCGGAGAGCAGCGAGGGGCTGCTCTCCAGCCGGGGGCACGGGCCTCTCCTCGCGGTGTTTCTCCTGTTGCGGAGCTCAGGCTCTGGGGCACGCCGCTTCAGGAGTTATGGTCCCCGGGCTCTAGAGCACAGGCTCGGCAGTTGGGGCTGACAGTTGCTCTGAGGCACGTGGGATCTTCCCGGGATCATGGATGGAACCCAGGTCTCCTGCACTGGCAGGTGGATTCTTTGACCCCGAGCCGCAGGGAAGCCCTGCTCCTTCCTCTCCCAGGCAGTCTCTGAATACTGTTTTACGTCTAGACTAAAACTCTGCACCAACAGGCAGTGAGCTCCCTCATCTAGTCTCCAAGGTGAGCCTCATCTCGGCCTGAGAGCCGGGACATCTGTCCACCTTTTTCTCCTGGCCTCTGTCTCTCTTGTTCTTCACGGTTCCACCAAGACTGCCTCCAAGAACTCCACAGCCTCATTTCCAAGACCCACCCTCTCGCCTGAGTCAGACAGCATGCACTCTTGCGGGGAGCAGCTGCCGTGGTCTTTCTGACTCTTTGGGGTTTCACTCCCCGCAGGTCTGCTGTGTCCCTTCTGTATGAACACCGTTTTTCTATAAGGGAAGTGGGAAAAAGGAATAGGCTGAGTCATTCTGGTTTCTTTTCCTTCTGTTAACATGGGGCCATCTGCTCCTTGCTTTTTGCACTAAATGAAATGAAGCAAACACGACTTCAGGAGATTCTGGACGAAGGCACCGTGGTCCAAGCCTCAGACAAAAGCAAAGCGGCGGAGGGTTCTGTGGATTCCAGAAGTGAAATGTGCCGGGCACCTGGTCGTGGGCAGAGGGAGGCCTTTCTCTCCCTCTCCCCAGGCCTGTGCTCACAGATGGGACGGGATGCCCTCGATGGCAGAAGCCCAGCCAGCCCTGCCTTCTCTCACACAGAGCAGAGGCTGCAGAAAGCTCTGCAGGGTCCCAGGTCCCAGAAAAGCTTTACCACATCTGAGTGAGGGGTGGGAGTGAGAGCCTCTGCACTGCACGACCCCTGAAACCTCCCCCAAAGGGTAGCCGGTCAGCTGACAGGTGAAATAAGACGAAAGTATGAAAAAATATTTCAATAAAAAGCAAAAAAAAAAAGGAAAAAGAAACTAATGAAAAACAGGGCAAATAAAAAGCATCAAGAAGAGGGTAGGTTTAAGCAGTTTCAAATTTTTGGTTAAAGAGCTGAGAGTATCAGATGAGATTCAGAAAAGCAAAGCCACCAACATGCTGCTCATCAGAAACCCAGCTCAGAAAGCAGCCTGGCAGGTCTCAGACCATCAGACGCCTCGTCCTGCCGTGCGGGGCTCCACATGCCGCGCTCACCCGCAGGAAGTGAGAGCATGTGTCCGCACACGAGCCGTGTGTTCTGAGTAAGGCACTCTACTCACAGCAGCAAAACCTGGAAACGGCTGAAGTGCCCATCAGCTGCTGAGTGGAAAACAAACTGGAGTGTCCTTTTCAACACAGCATTCGAGGACTTTGCTTAGTGCAATTAGATAAGAAATTATGTAAAAGGTATATAGATTGGAAAGGAAGAAATAAAACTGTCTTTGTTTGCAGACGGGATAGTCATGTACGTAGAAAAGAAAAAAAAAAACCAAACTCTTGAGATTGAGAATTGCCCTGGCAGTTCAGTGGTTCAGACTCAGAACTTTCACTGCCAAGAGCCTGAGTTTGATGCCTGCTCAGGGTACTGAGGTCATCCCACAGGCTGCAGCCCAGTCAAAAAACAAAACAAAGCAAAACAAACAGCAAACAAAAAAGCCCTCTTGGAATTAATGAGCAATTATAGCAAGATATACCAGCAAAGAGCAAATGGAATTTGAATTTTAAAATGCAATATCATTTACATTAGTATCCCCTTCCTTAAAATTTAAAAACAACTTTGCTCTGTGAAAGGTAGTGACATGAGAGTGTAAAGACAGGCCACAAACTGGGAGAAAACATTTGTAGACATATCTGATAAAGGACTAACAGAATCTACAAAGAGCTCTTAAAACTCCAAATAAGGAAACAACTGGATTAGAAAATGGGCCCAATATCTTAACAAATACCTTGCCAAAGAAGATACACAGATGACAAACAGGCAAGCAAAGAGATCCTCTCCATCACACGTCATCAGAGAAATGCAGACTAAAGCAACACTGAGGGGTCACTACACGACCTGCCAGGATGGCCAAAGTCTGGAACAATGACAGCATCAAATGCTGGGGAGGTTGTGAGACAGTAGGAAACCTCACTCACTGTGGTGAGAGTGCGGAATGGTGCAGCTACTTTGGAGACAATTTGGTTGTTTCTTGTGAAACTAAGCATACTCTTATCATGTGATCCAGCAATCATACTTCCTGGTATTTACCCAAAAGATTTGAAAACTTAGGTCTGCACAAAAGCTTGCACATGGATGTTTGTAGTAGCTTTATTCATCTTTGCCAAAACTCAGACATTATCAAGATACCCTTTAGTAGGTGAATGGATAAATAAACTGATACATCCAGAAAACAGAATATTATTCAGCACTAATAAAAAGTAAGCTATCAAGCCATGAAAAGACATAAACGAACCTTAAATACATATTACCAAGTGAAAGAAACCAGTCTGAAAAGGCTTTGTAATGTATGATTCCAACTCAATGGCATTCTGGGAAAGGTAAACCTATGGAGATCATTGTTTGCCAAGGATTAGGTGGGGGGAGTGAATAGAATACAGAGGATTTTTAGGGCTGTGAAAATACCCTGTGTGATAATATAAGGATGGATAAATATCATCATCTATTTGTCCAAACACACAGAATATACAACATCAAGAGTGGACCCTGATGTAAGCTGTGGGCGTTGGGTGATTATGATGGTCAATGCAGGTCCATTAAATGCAGTAAACGTTCCTTCTGTTGGGATGTTGAGGGTGTGGAGGCAGGGGAAAATGGGAAAGCACTGCAATTTCCTCTCAATTTTGCTCTGAGCCTAAAACTGCTCTAAAAGGGCTTTAATTTTTTTTTTTTTTTGAGTGATCTATCTTTTACCATCCTGTTGATGTTCAGCAAATATCTTGTATCAACTAACTCTGTGATGGTCACTGGATGTCACTGATCTCTCAGGCGGGTGCAGCGTGGTGCTTCTTACTTTAACTTCTGGTGTAAGATGATTTCTCTGCAGAGCTAGCTCCTGAGCTGTGGTCCATCAACAGGGAAGCAGCCCAGCTCTGTGAGGTTGACTCCACTTAGAATGGAAGCTGGGAACCAGAAGCTGTCTTTAACACTTGGACTGGGTTTCTAGAAACATTATTGCTGAATACATTCACTTGCCATTGGCATCAGTGTGAAGTCAAGTGGCATCTTGAATTTTCAAAGGAAAGTCCTTTTTCTCTTGCCGTTCCACCTGGAAGCGTGGCTGCTGGTGGAGGCCCGTGCCTGGCTATCTGGGGCCACAGAGACAATGGTCAGTCGCCTCAGCTGATCCCAGACAACATGCCGGGCACCTTCACTGTTCCCTGGGACACGTCCTTGTGCCTCCTCCCCTCCTTTCTGCAAATGCCTTGCCTACCGAAAAACCCCACTGATTCAGAGAGACAAACTAATAGAAGGACATTTCAGGGATCAAGAAGAAGCATCTGTTTTGTACACATCAGCTAGTCTAAAATCAAACCTCGTGGTCAGGCCCCAGGGGAGAGAGACATTTTTAAATGTCAGCAGAGTTTCCGGTCTCATGGACAAGTAGACATCTTGTGAATTCCCTGGAGAAAGGTCAGGCCTGCCACTTCCAGATAAAAGGAGGGCACTGTCAGAACACTGTGTGGTTTGGAAAGGAAATTTCTGGGGTAAGGAGGACTTCTAAGAGCACAGAGCATTCCTTTTTCAAACCAACAGGTTTTTGCGTAATTAATTCCTCCTGACCAGGGCAGTAATAATTCTCCTCATGGAGGGTCTGTCAACTGCATCTGGTTGACGTCATTCACCAACATTTTTTCCTAGGATGAAAAAGAAGTCTCTCGACAGACCAGAGAAGAACTAGGTCCAATCTTCACTTTACCTGCACTAAAAAAATCCATGGTTCCAAAGTCAGCCCAAAACTGCAGCCAAGTGCTTATCCCTAATTCTAACGAACTTCCTACCCACACCAAGGACAGACCAACAGTCTAAAATTGAACTGACAAAGATATCGATCAACAGGAGGAAAGCGAGAACACTTTATCGAATGTCTACATGTGTACGGGAACTTTCACAAGAGAATGAAGGCCCTAAGGCATGACTGGAGCAGGGAGCTTTTCCACCTTCTGGACAAAGAAACCACACACTTGTGCAGAATCCACGAGACAGAGGGGTTGGGACTTGGAGCAGTAACCGGTGAAGAAGTGACTGGAAGACAGGGGTGAGTTTAACAAGGTCCCCCGCCCTCCTGGAGCAGGGAGGCGCCTCTCACAGGCCTCCTGCTTTCAGGGAAGAAGGGTTTGGAGGGCAGAAGGTTTCCACTTCTGCCCATTTTCCAAACTCTTCCATTGAAGATACTCAGTATGTCTGGGTGCCGTGTCCTAGACTCCTTCAAGGCAGAACTCAATGAAACAGAAAACAGGAACACAGTTATCACTGAAGCTAAAAGCTGGGTCTTTGAGTTGATCAATAAAGCTGATAAACTTTTAAGCAGATTGATGAGAGGAAAAAGGAGAGAAGACATAACATAGCAATATCGCAGTTGAGCTATGATGCTCCTACACAGGCCTCAGTACTGCAAGGATATGGGAACATATCAACACCTCTCCCCCCACAATATCAACAGGTGGAGCAATAAACACTGGAACTTATATGAAATGGACAGCAAGTTCCTTGAAAGACACAAACTACCAAACCTCATTCAAGAAATGTAAGCATCTGAAGTACCTCTTTCCGATATATATAGTAAAGCACAGTGAATTCTGCTCAGCATTATGTAAAAACCTAAATGGGAAAAGAATTTAAAAAAGAGTAGATGCCTGTGTATGTATAACTGAATCACTGCTGTGCGCCTGAAAGTCACATAACATTGCTAATCAACTGTCCTCCAATATGAAACAGGAAGTTTAAAGAAAGAGAAGTCAACCTGTGGTTAAAACCCTTCCCACAGAGGAAATTGCAATGTCTTCATCGGTCAATTCTACCAATATTTAGGGGCTTCCCTTGTGGCTCAGAGACTTTACTTTGCCAACAAAGGTCCATCTAGTCAAGGCTATGGTTTTTCCAGTAGTCATGTATGGATGTGAGAGTTGGACTGTGAAGAAAGCTGAGAGCCGAAGAATTGATGCTTTTGAACAGTGGTGTTGGAGAAGACTCTTGAGAGTCCCTTGGACTGCAAGGAGATCCAACCAGCCCATCCTAAGGGAGATCGGTCCTGGGTGTTCATTGGAAGGACGGATGTTGAAGCTGAAACTCCAATACTTTGGCCACCTGATGCCAAGAGTTGACTCATTGGAAAAGACCCTAATGCTGGGAGGGATTGGGGGCAGGAGGAGAAGGGGATGACAGAAGATGAGATGGTTGGATGGCATCACCAACCCGATAGGCATGAGTCTGAGTAAATTCCAGGAGTTGGTAATGGACAGGGAGGCCTGGCATGTTGCGATTCATGGGGTCGCAAAGAGTCAGACACAACTGAGCGACTGAACTGAACTGAACTGAACTTGTGGCTCAGACAGTAAAGACTCTGAAATTCAGGAGACCCTGGTTCAATCCCTGGGTTGGGGAGATCCCCTGGAGAAGGGAATGGTAACCCACTCCAGTATTCTTGCCTGGAGAAATCTGGTGGACAGAAGAGCCTGCCAGGCTACAGTCCATGGGGTCACAAAAAGCTGAACATGACTGAGCAATTGAGCATGCATGCATACCAAAATTTAAGGCAGGAATAACATCAGTCATACACAAGCTCTTCAAGAATGCTGAAGAAGAAGGACCTCTTGCCAGTACACTCTATGAGGCCATCATTACCCTGATACCAAAACCAAAAAGAAACTTGACAAGACATGACAAATTTTTAGACACCCTTTGTGGGAGGGAGACTGGAAGCACATAAATTTCTTCAGGAGGGAAAAATGAATGACTATATGGTGGTATATTCTACAGACAGACACTGCTTATGTGCAGTATTATGATGCACGTATGCTAAGTTGCTTCAGGCGTGTCCGACTCTTAGCTATCCTATGGACTGTAGCCCGCTAGTCTCCTCCGTCCATGGGATTCTCCAGGCAAGAATACTGGAGTGGGTTGCCATTCCCTTCTCCAGGGGATCTTCTTGACCCGGGGATTGAACCTGCATCTCTCACGTCTCCTGCATTGGCAGGCAGGTTCTTTACCACTAGTGCCACCTGGGACGCCCGGGTATTACTATGAACCCAAATGGTGTAAAGCTAAAAAAAAAAACAACTGAGTTAAATAATACTGAGTTAAAAAAGCAAATTTCTATGAAACTGAAATTTGTAAAATATATATATATATATACACATATGAAGGCATTTATGTCAAGTTTTAAAAACACACAAAATAATGGCAGATTGCTTATGCAAACGTACACATGTAATAAAAGCATAAAACACACCAGCGCATGATAAACACCAAATTCAGAACAGCAGCTGCCCTTAGGGAAGCAGGAAGAAGAATGGTCTTGGGGGAATATCACATAGGATGCTTGGACTAAATATGTGACGTTTTATTTCATTTTTAACCTATGTGAAGCAAATATGGCTAAGTGATAAAAACTGTGAAAATTGGTAAATTTAGCTGGTCGAGTTGATGCGTTTATAGTTGTTCTTTATATTATCTCCTGTTCCATTTCTCTCAGGCTTGAAATAAATGACAGTATGTGTGCTCACTCACTCAGTCATGTTCGACTCTTTGCGACCCCATGGACCAGGCTCCCCTGACCATGGGGTTTCCCAGGCAAATATAGTGGAGTGGGTTGCCATTTCCTTCTCCAGGGGATCCTCCCAACCCAGGGATCAAACCCGTTTCTCCTGCTTGACAGGTGAATTCTTTATCGCTGAGCCACCGGGGAGATAAACACCTTGTGATAAAGCCATCGTGGTTTGGGAAGCAGGTTAGCAGACGTGTCCTGCAGACCCGCTCCTGGGTGCAGAGGGGTGAACCCAAGGGGCCGCCGCCTCCCTGGGAAGCCCTTTCTGCGGCCTTGGATGCGGGGCAAGGATTCTCTCACACTGTCAGGGCTCCGGGGCCAGGTTGACTGTGACTCCCTGATGAGCATCTGCTGTTAAACATCCCGCTTCTCAACCCTGGCTTCCCTGGTGGCTCAGTGGGTAAAGAGTCCGCCTGCAACGCAGGAGACCCAGGTTCAATTCCTGGGTGGGGAAGATCCCCTGGAGAAGGGAAAGGCTGCCCACTCCAGTATCCTGGCCTGGAGAATTCTACGGACTGTATAGCCCATGGGGTTGCAAAGAGTCGGACACGACTGAGCGCATTTCACTTTCAGGCCTCCCGGCCCTTCCCTGATCGCACCTTCAGCTGTGACCCTCCTGAGGGAAAAAGACCCAGAGCTTCACAACCAGACTAAGCTCATCTGATGCTCGAGAATTTCTACTGGAAAAGTAGACAAGTTTAGATTCACCAAAGCGGACCCTAGACGGTTTCAGAAAGAAAGGCTCCCTTTGTGAGAGGTAGGCTCGGGGTGGGGGTGCGGGGGTGTGTCTGGGGAGAGAGATGCACGTCTGACGTTTCCGGGGGAAGACCAGGCTCCAAATCTGCAGCCCTTGCCCGTCATCTTAATGCTCTCTCTCCTTAATTTGGAGGCTGCCTGTTTTTCTGTCAACACTTCTGGTGAAACTGCATTGAAACACAAGCAGAAGCCTTTGATCATAAATCTCACAGTCTGCTCCATCAGTGTGTATGAATTACCTCCCCCTCAGGGGGAGCGAGAAGGACCCGGATAAATCTCCCAGAAAAAAAAAAAAAAAGGATGATGAAATGATTTCCTCTGCTCCCAATAAGATAAAAAAATAACAAACAAAATTCACACCCTTTCCTCATTTGCCCAGCAGAAAATGTGGACTCCAGACTGGCCTAGTTTCAGCTGCTCATCAGTCTTTACACTCACGTCAAACTGCTTCAGCCATTGCTCCCTACAGCCAGGATTTAAAATAAATGAGTTTCAGATTCTTTCTTCCTCATTGCATTGTTTGTTGTTTAATAAACAGGGTGACTGGAAGCGTGAAGCGGGCTCTGGGCAGTCCTGGGGGGAAAGGCCCGCCCTCTGAGTCATACCAGCACCTGGCCAGCCCCGGGGGTCTTGGAGGAACATGGTTTTCCAAGGGGTGGGCTCACCCAGATGTTTGTAATGACCACAGAAACCAGATATGACTTCTCATAAACCCTTCTGACAACTGCTCAGATTTCCTGTCTAGAACACTTTGGGGTTCTTTGGAAAAAAACAATTTAAATTGTAAAGTAATGTTCATTTCAAAAATATGTAAAGGTACTGATAATGTAGATGATTGTGGAAATCACTTGCAGTAACATGAGCTTGTCACCAAAGATACATTCAGTTTCTGTTCTTCAAACCTCTCCCAGCGGGTTTGTCTCCGGGCGGGTTTGGGGGGCGTCCTCCGGGTCTCTCTGCCGACACGGTTTCTCATCCTTCCAGTCACATGAGGGGCAGTCCCTGCTCTTGGTGGGGTCAGACAAGTCTCTGCTTTTGTCAGTGAAGGTGAGCAAAAGTGATGGCAGCCTCTCCAGATGAGACCGTAGCAGCCCCAGGGCAGCCCGCTGCATGCCTTCCTTCTGCAGCGCTGACTGCACAGGACCAGACACTTGCTGTTTAAAGGTGGGGGGGGGGGGCAGGAGAAAGGTTATCGCCTCGGTCCCGAGCTCACCTTAAACTCCAGCAGGACTTAGATGCTTCCTTGAGCAAGATGCGAGAGGGAGCCTCCACAGGCCCCTCTGACCTTCACTGGACACAGAATGGGGCCAGAGAGCGCTCCTGCTGCTATCGACTAGGACGTGGGGAGAGCTTGTTCCTGCAGGGTAGTCTACCCTAGCCTGAGTGAAACGACTGGAAACACATCCTGCTCCTAAGCTTCTCTGGTGGCTCAGTGGTAAAGGATCCCCCTGCAATGCAAGAGATATGGGATTGATCCCTGGGTCAGGAAAATCCCCTGGAGGAGGGAATGACAACCCCCTCCAGTGTTCTTGCCTGGAGAATCCCATGGCCGGAGGGGCCTGGTTGGCTACAGTCCATGGGGTCAAAAAGAGTCAGACGCGACTGAGCAAATAACACCTTCACTTTCTGGGTCATCAAACATACTTTTGAAAAATACACTTTCTACTTGAGTGGAGAATGGTAAAACCATCCCCCTTTCCCCCACGTCCTCCAGCAGTGACTCAGGAGCGGCACCTGTGAGCAGCGTACCCCTCCTGACCGTCTCTTTAGGCGCGTCCACTCCTCCGTCATCCCCACTGCTGCTGCCCGCGGTCCTTCTGACCTGCCGCTCCTCTTCTGTGGTGGCCGGGCTGGGAGCCAGGCAGATGCCAAACCAAAGCTGGATGTAGGGATGGAAATCAAGATGGGGTGTCTCACCTGAGATCCGCTGACAGCCAAGAGACCTCAGCCTGCGGCTGTCAGGCCCAGCGGAGGTCCACCTCTCCCATCTGCGTGGGAGTCCCCCCCACGAGTCCTCGGACTGGGAGGAAGTCAGAGCTACTGCGCTGGGACACACAGCCCTGGAGAGCACGGGTGATTCCCCTGCCACCTGCCTGCACACTCTTCGGGGGAGGCATCCATGCCCCAGGGCTGACTCCAGGGAGGGGGTAGGAGGAGGCCTGGCCTCCGAGAACCGTCCACAACCAAGAGCAGAGATCCTCCCTTTGTTCATCCAGTTGCTTCATTCAGTTCATCCAGCAGCTTTTCAGTTGCTCGGTCGTGTCTGACTCTTGCGACCCCACGGACCGCAGCACGCCAGTCTTCCCTGTCCTTCACCATCTCCTGGCATTTGCTCAAACTCATGTTCACTGGATCCGTAATGCCTTCCAACTGTCTCATCCTTGGTCAGGTGTAGGCCGAGGTTTAAGGTTAAGGCTTGGAATTCAGTCTTAGGATGGGAGAGTGCAGAGCTGGTGGTGGGTTTTGTGGGGAAACACCTGTCGAGTCGGATACACAGCCGGGTTCAACCAGCTGAGCCAAGAGACAGGACTGGGTGTCCGTGGTCGCTGCAGCCTTTGGTGACCGGCCCCCGCCCTGATGCAGGGACAGAAGCACCCAGCGCTGAACAGCAGGGAGGGAGCCACCTCGCCACCAGGAGAGGGGAGCCAAGGCCGCCAGCAACAACGCTCACCAGTTTCTGCTTTTGCTCAGAAGTTCGAGAATTGGAAAAACATCCTGGCCCACCCGAGAAGCAAGCAGAAGCCCTGTGCGTGCTACGCCCCCTCTGCCATGTCTGGAGCCAGCACTGCTTTGGGGTCGGCGGCAGGTGGTGGTTTGGGGACTAGCTCTCTGGGCCTGCCCACCCCCTCCCTGAGCCCCCCACTCCCCCTCCCCTGCATCCTGAGTCACCTGTGGCCCGGGGACTGGGGGGCCCAAGGTCACAGTGAACTGTTCAGCGAGGACTGTCCGGCGTCTGGTCTCAGTCCTTCCTCCCTCCAGGAGCCCTCCCGGGACAGCACTGAAGATCCAAGGCTTGTGTCTTGGGGATTTTCCTACATTTGCTGTGGTCCTGGGGTTCCCCGCAGCTGGTCAGGCAGCCACTGCCGTGGTCTCTTGTCTGCGAGGGCCCGACCGAAGGGTCCCCTGTCCTGCCCCCGCGCACCCTCGGAAGGCCTGACTGTGCTGCAGCACCCAGACCTCAGGGGCAGAGAGATGGCAGGGCCCTGTGGGCCGCCGAGGAGGAAGGACGGCCCTTTAGAAGGAGACACACCACACTGCTCCCCGCCGAGTGAATGTTTAGCTGCCCTCACATGAAACCAAATAAAAATAACAACTGCCAGGCGTTATGGTTTTGTTGTGAACTGGACCCCAGATAAGGGCTTCCTTCCCTCCGCTATCAGCCTCACACCGGCCAGGCAGACTGGCCGCTGCCCCGTCTGGGTCCGGAGCGGCAGAGGCAGACCTGGAGCCGGACTGCCGAACTCTGCCCCCCGCACCCCTGGCTTCTGTGTTGGCTGCTGGACAGGAAACAGCCCCGGTTTCCTGGTGAGTCCTGAGTTAGGGCTGAGGGCGGCCACAGGGCAGTGGGGCCGGGCGGCCGGGGCCAGTCCACCCAGCTCCGCCCTCGCCCCCCAGGGGCCAGTCCACCCAGCTCCGCCCTCGCCCCCCAGGGGCCAGTCCACCCAGCTCCGCCCTCGCCCCCCAGGGGCCAGTCCACCCAGCTGCCTCCCCCACTCCTGGGGCCAGTCCGCCCAGCTCCCCCCACAGCCAGCTCCTCCCTGGTCCCCACGAGCCCCGCCTCCAGCCCCTCCCGCTCCTGCCTCCCAGCGCGCTGCTGTTTTCTTTCGGATTTGCAGGTTTTGTTCCATTTTTTCAAAACAGTGGCAGCTATATTCCGAACAGATGTCATCAAAAATTGATTCCCAGCAGAGAGAAAATATGAATCAACACAGAAACGCTTCAAGGCTGCAGGCGGCTTTGCATCTTGGAGCAAACGGTCATAGTTTCCCTTTAGGATGTGGCCAGCATCCTGAGAAAGCAGGTCGCCATGGAGATGCCAGCATCGCCGCTGCAGCCAGAGGGGAGATGACGCAGACCGCCTGAGCTAAGCAGCCGCTTCGGAAGACGATTCCTTCCTTACAGTGACCTGATGGCATGGTGGTGTGAACACCCAATGCTCTTCTCACCTTTAATGACATTCTAATTTTAACAGGATTGATATAGACCTACCAAAGGCTACAGAAAATTTCATCATGCTGATACTTGTGCAAAACCCCTGGTCTGAACAAAAAAGACTTTTATGAACAGAAAAGAACAGCCTTTTGACTCTCCTTGCTCAAATAGAATGGAATCTGAATGAAGTCAGGTCAGGGGCCATTTAGAGACAAGCCTGGGCTTCACTGTGTCTCCAGTTGCCGGGGTTCCACACGACACGACAGGCAGGTAGGGTCCCAGCCCCCATGTGTTCCGGGTGCCCTGTCCATGTGGCCGCTCCGGCTCCATCATCCCCCTCGCTGTCTGCCCTCTGCCCACAGGTGCAGCTGTGGCAAGGACCATCCTCCCGGTTTCCTCCCAATGCCCGACTTTGAAGGCACATCGCCATCCCGGGGGATGGATGTGCAGTGACTTCTATCCAGAAACTGTGAGCACCTGCAGGAAGACAGCGTCATTCACCCAGGAAAACTGACCTGGGCTGACCGCACGGCCTGCTCCCAGCCAGGTTGGAAGGAAATTCGGGGCTGTGGGCCAGGGTCAGGGGGGCGGTAGCCGGAGGGGAGAGGGAAGCCGTTGGCCTGAGCCACTGGAACACCACGGCCAGCGTGCTTGGGCTGTTCCTCCAGGGCCACAGCCTGTCCTCTGGGGTCTTGGGGACAAGCCAGGCCGTGCTCATTCCCGTTCCCCTGGAGCTAAGAGTTGGGCTGGGGGCCCCAGTCAGCCACCACAGCCACAGGCTCAATGTGGTCCAAGTCTCTTCCCCCAGGGGCATGGTTAGGGCGGGCGTCTGTGATGCCTCTCAAGTTTCCATTTCTGCACAACTGGGAGGGAGGGAGGGAGGCCCTGGTGCCGTGACCCACGTCTCTCCCCTCCCTGCCGTTCTGCACCAGGCTCAGCGCTTGCTCTTCTCCTGGAAACCTGGCCTCCGGAATCCACTGTCAAAAAGGGCGGGGTCTCTCTAACACCAGATACGCTGATTCCTTTTGATTGGCTCCTGTGAGTGGCCTGGAGTGTTTTTACGTTTTTAAAAGGTTGAAAAAAGTCAAAAGAAGAATATTTCATGACACAAACCAATTACATAAAATTCAAATTTCAGTGTCCAGAAATAAAGCTTTATTGGAGCATGGCCACGCTGACATATGGGTGCTTTTGAGCTATAAACAGCAGGGCTGTGCAGATGCTCGCTGAAAGTAACTGTCCTCCAGCTCATCTCAGAGCAAATCTCTGACCCCTGGCCTGGGGCGCACAGGCACTGCTCTGTAGATGGAAATACCCTACCAGGGGTGTCTGGAGTGTTTTCCTGACTTGTCACTGTTGCTGACTTTTGCTAAATTATTTGACTTTTTTTCTTTAATCACATTAAGAGTAATATACACTTGTTATAACAGGCTAAAGAAAAGGAGAGGTGTACGTTGGAAGTAGTTCCTAACAGCCCCTCCTAGCGTGCCCCCCACCCCGTTCCTCTGTGGGGACCACTGCTCACATGCCTTTCCTTCTCTGCTCAGACACAGACTCTTCTTGTTTCTTTTTTAGGAAATGTGATTATGCACATGTGCCTCTCTGACTTGTTTTGTTTCACTGAATACTGGATATTCCTTCAGATCCATTCAGACATCACAGATCCAGTATTGTTAATAAATGCATAAAATTCCATAGTAGACTTGGAATCATTTATTCAACTCTGCCCCATCAATGAGCATGCAGGAGCATTATCTTTTTTCACAAGATATAGAGTTCTGAAGACAGGTTTTGTGCTCTAGAGCTTCTAGACCATGATTTTATTCTATAGGATAGAATCCTAGAAGAGGGACGGGCGAGTCAGAGAGGTTGGGTATGTCTCAGCTGAATACACAATTTATTGAGACCAAACATGGTCACACTGGCCGGTGAGGACACAGGAGACGGCCGGTGAGGACGCGGGAGACGGCCGGTGAGGACGCGGGAGACAGCCGGTGAGGACAGAGGAGACGGCCGGTGAGGACAGAGGGTAATGGACAGTCTTCTCCTTGTTGCCTGAGTACTTTTCTGTTTTTTAAAAAATTCTCTCAAAAACTGCCTCTCTCTCTCTCTCTTTAAATATAGATTCACATTTTGAGGCATGGTCACCTGAGAGTGCTCTGGCTTGGGGGGCCTTGGGCGCTTGTGCCTCGTGAGGCAGGCTTTTTTGGGAAGACAGACCCCAGTCAGGCGGGTCTGTCCTGGGCCCTCACCGCGGCTGAGTGGCGGCGGTGAGTGGATGTGCACAGCTGCGCCTGGACGGGGCTGGAGAAAGAGCACAGAGCGCAGATGGGCGCCTGCTGCCGGGCCCGTGGACCCCTGCCCCCGATGCTATGAGCCCCCTCTTTCCCCACCGCTGGGCAGCAGCTGACAGCCTCCTGCTGATGCCCTGGACTTGGCCCTCAATAGACCATCATCCATTCTATTGGATGTAGAGAAAGTACATGTTTTGCTTCTAAAACACAACAGCTCCTTAAAGAAAAAAAAGGGTAATTCTCCATTTGAACGGCTCCCTCTGCTCAGATCAACGCCTAATGTTTAACTAGCCTGGCCTCACATTCCTGGGTGGGGTCGGAATAATAGTCATTGTATTTATTTTCTTTTTCTGTTAAAAAAAAGCGGGGGAGAGTTACAGAAACCTTAGGTGGTCTCGTTTTCTTTGAAGAGCTGACCAGTGCTGCAGGCAGACGCTGCAGCCCTCGTGGAGGAGGTCGGGGACCGGCGTCTGTGCCCAGAGCTCATCCCAGCTCTGCACCCGCCGCCACCCCCCGCCGTCCGGAGCACCCCAGATGGACTCAGGCCCCAAGCCCTGTGTCCTCCCCTGCGGGGCCCCCACCAGCTGGGCCCCCGCCCCAGCCCCGACCTGGGGTGGGCTCCTCGCCCCTCTGTTCAAGGACCAAAAAGTGCTCCGTACGGCAGAGGTGCTAAGCCTCTGACTGTGTGAGGCATGCGCTCAGGAGGGGCCGTCCCTAAAGCATCAGCCTGTCGTGTTCATGCTAAGGGGCAGCTCACACCCACAGCACGCTTCCTGCTTCAAAGGTCGCTTGGGCGGGTGGGCCCTGGGTACCCCATGCCCCCAGGGGCGGGGGCAGCACTGACTCGGGCCCGTACTAGGGGCCCCTGACCCCCGAAACAGGGGTCCCCGAAGCCCCACAGGACTTGTCCAGAGAAGCAGGCTCGACCCCTCCACGGGCCCTGCTCTCCAGAAGGCCCATCGACCCCGGAGTCTGAACCCCGAGCACTTGGCTTGGCAGACAGCATTGGCAACGGGCCAGGAGGGGGGACAGCAGGCCAGGAGGGGGCTGACCTCACCCAGTCACGCCCCAGCCAGCCTGGACGGCCGCTCAGCTCCCTCTTCACGGGCGGTGTGATGTCCTCTCTTGTGGCAGCTTCCAGAAGATGGGAGAGATGGCACACAGGGAGATTCCAGGTTCCAGAGACGACCGCCATCTCACACATGCCCAGGCTTTCATCTTCTCAGAACAGCATTGGTCAACAAAAAATTAATCTGTATCCTCTGATCTATTTATTCAGCAGTCACTGCACGCCTGCCAGGTGGCCCTCTGTTTACCTGTAAAGCCCCCCACTCCCACCATCCACAGCCCCAGGGGCAGTACACACAGCCTCCCGGGGCTGGACCTTCTCAGAGGTGCTGGTTCCTGGGGGCGCCGGCTCTCAGAGGCAGTGAGCACTTAGAGGGGCTCTTCAGCGCCAGCCCCTCTTCCAGATGCACCATTCAGCCTGGGGAGAAGATTCAGGCACCCCTGTTTCACAGGTGAGGGACCGAGGCTCAGGGAGGGGGAGGCCCTTGCTCAGGGTCACATAGTGCTAAGTGTCAGAGGCAGGATTTGAACTCAGGCAGGCTGGTGCCAGCTCCACGCTCTTAGACCCTTCGTCACGTGACCCTGCTACAGCGCACAGAGGGTGAATGAGTGAACGGAGGACCGGGGCTTTAGCTACGGTGAGGTCCGAGGGGCCAGACGAAGAGGTTTCGTCTTCAAAGCCCTGTCGGCCTGGCCCTAAATATGGAAAGCAGAGACAGGAGAGAGGCGAAGCTCCGGAGGTCAGTGGAGGGGCCGGACCGCTGCCTGACGCGTAGCGTGGCCGCCGTCGCCCTGACTCCGTGTCAGAGCTCATGAAGGAAGGAAGGGTTTAATTAGCGGGCTGAGTGCTTCTGTGGTCAACACTGCGGGAGCAGACTCTGCTTCACTCAGCCCAGCCTCTGCCCAAACTCGCAAGGAAACCCTTCCCCTTCCCTCGGCCTCCGGCGTGGCTGCAGCTGGGCAGGGATTCGGCCCCAGGTGCCACCTGTGAGATGGCTGGATGGCATCACCGACTCACTGGGCGTGAGTTGGGGTAAACTCCGGGAGTTGGTGATGGACAGGGAGGCCTGGCGTGCTGCAGTCCATGGGGTCCAAAGAGTCGGACACGACTGAGCGGCTGATCTGACTGACCACCTCCGAGGCACGTGCGACACCGCTGCCGTCCTGGCGCGGCCGGGGCCTCGAGGGGCTTTCGTCCAACCTCACCTCAGACCCTCAGTGAGGGTACTCGGGAACGAGAGCCCAGAGCTGCAGGTTCAGGGAGAACGGATGTTCACGTTTCACTGGGTCCCCAGCCTTCTCGAGAAGGAGCCCACACTCGAGAAGGCCCTGGGCGGCCTGTCAGGCTGAGGGTGAGGGAGTCGGGGGGCGCAGTGATGCTGGAGCCGGTGAGGGCGGGATGACCCAGCCAAGGCCGGAGCCCCGCTCTGCACAGCTTGGCCGGGACAGCCACCAATGCCCGTGAGTCTGGGCGAACGTTCCCAGCCTGTATCCTCTGCCCCGTTGGGGACTCGGGGCTCTCCCGCACATCTCCTGACCTCTGTGACCGCCTCACAGGGCCAAGAGTTGGCCTGTCCAACCACCCTCCTGCCTCATGGTTTCTGCTCACGTGGCGGACACGCCCGGAGCTGCCTGCCTGCAGACTGCTGTCCACTCCCCAGCCCTTCACTGCAGAGTGTGTGTGCACACATGTGTGTGTGCATCTGTGTGCACTCGTCTGTACACCTGTGTGTGTGCATGTGTGCCTTGCACCGACAGGCGTGCACTTGGGTGCCCACACATGCAAGCCTGCACGCATGCTTCTGCATGCGTGCCCCCACACGTGTGCCCAGTCAGATCCCCTAAGGAGGGGATAGAAGGGCGCACAGTCCCTGCCCCTGGGCCTCTGGGCGCAGCCGCTCTCCCCGTCTACTGTGGGCAGGGTGGCAGAGCCCCGAGTGGCCGGGCCTGCAGCTCAGGGCTGGGGGCATGGCGGACGGTCCTCGGTATCTTTCCAGGATGCCAAATACATCCTGGCACAGAGGATGTTTAGTGGGAAGCAGGCAGGTGTGAGCCATCCTCGGCCACAGGAGCAGGTGGAAGGGAATTAAGGAAAACATTGCATTTCGTGGTAGGCGGGCTTGATCCGGCCCCCAGGGTCAGGTTTCCTGGGAAGCGTGGGAGTCGTGAACGAGGGCCTGTGAATACCTGCAAACCCGCCTCCTTCCGTCCCCAGGCGCTGTGGCCAGGCCAGCGGTGCCATCTGCTCGGGGGGTCGGGGGGCCAGGAGGACGTCGCCTGCCACCCCTCCTCGCCTGGGATGCCAGGATGCACCACCACTGGGAAGGTGTGGTCACTGGTTCACGGCGAGATCCTCCCACCACAAGCTGATCACCGCTTCTTCACCACTTTGTTCCGAATCCCTTGTCAAGGGCAGGTGGCGGGAGAACTTCTAAGGCCCTGAGCCAGCCCAGGACCAACAGTGACTGAGGAGGGTTTTTCCACTGGCCTTTCCCTCCCTTTGAAATAGGTAAATCCTGAGACATGAAAAGCAGGAAGTTCCCCAAATAAAGAGAACCGTAGCTCTCCATTGTCCAAGTGCCGAACACTGCGCTGTTTGCTGATGTAACTTCATAACACGTGCGTGGGTCTCCTGGGGAATCCACCTGCCCCGACGCTGGGGGTCTAGGAGCTTACCTCCCCCAGCTGATAGGCGAACACATCACGGCTCATTTTATTTCCTGACACCCTTTCCACTGGCCTCGTCATCGGGGAGCAGCCCCTCAGATCTGACCTGTGTCTCCCTCTGCACCACGTGGACCCCAGGAGTGAGCGGTGACGACCGCACCATCTCCCCTCCGCTCTCACGGGCGACAAGTGTAGGTGACTCCCGAGAGCCCGACCTGAAACGCCAGGCCTCTTCCTCTCTGAAGACCTCTGTGCTTTATCTCATTTAATAACGAAAAATTCAGAAAAGCACAGCTCCTGTTTTTAAACTGACCTCAAGCATCTGCATGAAAGAGCACATTTGTACAATCAACGAAAAGAAGGGAAGAGTAGGTCCTGTTGTTTCCCCAGCGGTTTTCATGCCAGGACCGAATCACTGCTGGAAATTTCTTTGCAGGGGCAGGGGGGTTAACTTGACTAGGGCTCCCCTGGTGGCCTAGTGGTAAAGAACCAGTCTGCAAGAGACATGAAAGATGCAGCTTCGATCCCTGGGTCGGGAAGATTCCCTGGAGGAGGAAATGGCAACCCACTCCAGTATTCCTGCCTGGAGAATCCCATGGACAGAGAGGCCTGGTATAATTCCATGCAATAAAAGACACCCATTTTACATGTAGAATTTGACAGATTTTGGAAAATATTACCTCCATTTGTGACCTCCACAACCTCCAAGACCACCCCAAAAGTGTTCCCCTGTTCTCTGGAGCCTGATCCACCTGCTAGACCTCCCTGGGCCTGGGCAGACGCTGGTCTGACTTCCGTCACCATCAGCCAGTTCCCCCTGTTCTAGAACCATGTCATCATGTCACTGGAATCACACGGTAAATGCTCTTTTTCACCTGACTTCTTTATTTCTGAGATCAGTTCATCTTGTACATATCAGTAGTTACATTTCTTTCTACTGTGTGCAATAATTTTTTCCTGTATGAATATACATTGATAGGTTATATATTCTGCTTTTAGACATTTGGGTTGTTTTTAGTTCAGAGCTATTATACATAAAGCTGCCATTAATATTTGTGTAAGAATTTTGTAAGGACCTGAGTTTTCATTTCTCTTGAGGAAGCAGCAAGGAGCAGAATCACTGTGTATTTAACTTTATAAGAAACCGCCAAACGCTTCACCAAACGCTTGTCATTTTACATTCTCAGTAACAGGGTGTGAGCTATGATTATTTCACTTCTTTGCCAACATCTTAATCATTCTAGAGGGCGTGAGGTGGTATTCCATTGTGGGTCCCTGATAGCCCTGTTGACAGGTATCACTCATGTGCATTTAGGTCATTCATATACCTTCTTCTGTGCAGTTTCTGTTCAAATTGTTAGTCCATTTATTACAGGGTGACCATCTTAACGTTACTGGGTTGTTGGAATAGATTATATATTGTCCTTGCTCAGATAAAAGGGTTGACAATTTTCCGTCCCAATCTGTGACTTGCCTTTTCATCTTAACCGTGTCTTTGAAGAGTAAGTTTGAAATTTGGATGAAATCAAATTTACCAGGTCTTTTCTTTTAGCTTTAGAGAGTTTTGTGTCCTTCTCGAATGCTGCAAAGATTTTAAGACACTGCACAATTCTAGCTCTGCTATTTAGGTCTGTGATTCATTTCTAGTTAATGTTTTGTGTGTGGTGTGACGTAAGGAGCCGGGAAGCATCTGGAGACTGGTTTGTTCCAGCAAGAACTGATGAAAAGAGACTATTTTATCCCTGTTAGAGAAACTTATGGAAACCATCCTAGCCATTCACATGTGGGTGTGCTTCTGGAAAACTTACTCTCTTCCGTTAATTTATGAGTCTCTCTGTATGGTAATATTACTCTTTTTATATACTGGTAAATTTTATTTTCTAACATCCTGTACATATTTTTCATAAATATGTTCATGAAGGGTACTGTTCTTGTCATTTTCTAGTTTGGGTATCAGTGTTATGTTGACCTTATGAATCAAATTAGGAAATGTCACTCCTCCTGAGTTTTCTTAAAGTGAGTGTGACATTGGTCTTCCTTTTTATAGTAAATGAAAAAAGGAGAAATAAATAGAATATGGAGAAGGCACCTGAGTCTGGAGTGTTCACTGTGAGAAGGCTTAGCATTGTGGAGTCTATTTCAGTAGATATCGGGCCATTTAGGTGTTTTGTCTTTTCTTGAGTCAGCTTTGGAAAGCTACATCTTTTAAAGAATTCATCCATTTATTTTCATTATTATTATGGTAAAAAGACATAACATTAAATATATCATCTTAACCTTTTAAGTGTATAGTTCAGTAGTGTTTTAAGTGTATTCTCATGGCTCTCTACAACTTTTTAATCTTGTAACTCTGAAACTCTGCTTCAATGTTAGTCACTCAGTCGTGTCCGACTCTTTGTGACCCCATGGCCTGTAATTCACCAGGCTCCTCTGTCCATGGGATTCTCCAGGCAAGAGTACTGGAGTAGGTTGCCATTTCCTTCTCCAGGGGATTTTTCTGACCCAGGGATCGAACCTGGGTCTCCCGCATTGCAGGCAGATTCCTTACCAGCTGAGCCGCCTGGGAAGCATCTGCATCAATTAAACGCTAGCTCCTCTCCCCGCTCCCCTCAGTCCTTATACCATCTTTCTTCTTTCTGTTTCTATGACTTTGACTATTTTAGATATTTCACATGAATGGAACTGTACAGTTTTTGTCATTTTGTAACTGGCTTATTTCACTTCCATGTTATATCATGTGACAAAATTTCCTTATGTTCATGGCTGGACAGTATTCCATTCCATATGCATCGTATCTGATACACATATATCACATCTTCTTTATCCATTTATCAGTTAAGAGCACTGGGTTGCTTCTACCTTTTGTGAATATCACTGTGATAGACACGGTGTGCAAAGATTTCTTTGAGATCCTGCTTTGAATTTTGGGGCTGTATAGCCAGGAGTGAGATTACTGGGTGAATAGTAGTTCTATTGTTAATTTTTTGAGGCATCTCCATACTGTTTCCCTAGTGACTGTACCATTTTACGTTTCCATCCACAGTATGCAAAGGTTCCAGCTTTTCCACATCTTTGCTAACAGTGATTATTTTGTTTGTTTGTCTGTTTGTTTGACAGCAGTCTCATTGTGGTTTTGATTTGCATTTATTTGATGAGTAGTAATTTTGAGCATCTTTTCATGTGTTTCCTGTGTACGTCTTGTTTGGAAAAATGGCCTATTCCAATTGCCCATTTTTAACTGGGCTGTTTTTGTTGTGGCCGCTGTTAAATTGTAGCCCCACCGCAAACTGATCCAGCACAGACTTGTGATTTCTAGCAGCGAGATTGGGATCTTGGAAGAGTCAAGGCACTGACGCCAGGATGGCTGTGCCGATGGTGGCAAGATCTTCTGTCCTCCTGTGCCTCAGTTTTCCCATCCATCCAGTGGGCTCACAGCACCTCCCTCAGCCTGCTGTAGGATGACACAGGGAGACGCGTGTTTGGTAGAGCCCAGGCTTAGCGTCCAGGATGTCAGCTCTGATTCTTATCATCTATTTGCAGTTTACTGGGTCTACTGGCCTTACATCTGCTGGGTTCAAGAGTTGATATAAGAGTCAGATCAAGGAATTTACTGTGATGACCAAAACCACTGTTGGGGGAGTAGACAGGGTCATCCTGCCATTTCCCCAGAGGCAGGACGGCGTGAGGCAGGCTGAGCAGAGGTCAGCGTGGCCGGCGGGTAGGCCGTGTGCGAACCTCACGCCAGACTGTCCCCGACTGGTCACTTCTGCTCTTCACAGAAGTGAAGCGTCTGACTGAGGCGGAAAGTTGAAACTGGTTCATTTAATTTTAGCTTCATCTGTACACAGCATGAATAATGAATTATGGCTTCAGACAGGTTGAAAACATGATCCAGCTGCAGCAGAAATGCACTTCAGCCCAGAAAACCACCAGCTAATAACCCAACGGGGAAAACAAACTATGCGAGAGAGTCGGTGGAGGGGCATTTACAGAAGAGCAGTGTCTGGGGAGGGGAAGGAAGCGTCAGGGGGTGAGGGCCCCCCGACCCGGCCCATCCGTGCGGAAGGGTCTCCTGGAGCCTGCTCACACTGACCAAGGGCTGCCAGCGGCCCCGCGACACGGCCACGCCCCCAGCAAGAGGGGCCCCTGCCCGCTGGGCGCAGAGCTGTGGGCCAGGCTGTTGGGTGCACGTGGGTTCAGATGAAGGACCCGGGGCAAACGGAGGACTTGTCCTCTCCGGGGCTGGGAGGGGTGGTCAGAGCACATCCGGCCTGCGGCCACCAGGAGCTCGAGCCTGTCGAGCAGAGGTGGGGGCCACGCGAGATGAGCAGAAGGGCAGTGGGGTCCAGGGTTCGAGGGGGCGGGACAGATGCGGGAAGCCTGGACTCCCTCCAGGGCCAGTGGCCAGGCCAGCTGGAGGGAGGGGGCTCCCAGAGCGAGGCCGGGGGAGAAGCCTGGGGACCGCTGGGGTCAGGGAGGGAGCGGGGCAGGAAAGAGGAGCCCACCATGGGTCAGGCAGCCGGGCACCAGGAAGTCCACAGACGGGGCACAGTCCTGAGTGTCCATCCGGGCTGAAACACCCAGGTTCCACAGGGCCCCATTTTGACCCAAAGCAACATCCAAGGTTGAATGGTTGATGTTGAAGCTAAAACTCCAATACTTTGGCCACCTGATGTGAAGAGCTGACTCATTGGCAAAGACCCTGATGCTGGGAAAGACTGAAGGCAGGAGGAGAAGAGGACGACAGAGAATGAGATGGTTGGATGGCATCACTGACTCAATGGTCATGAGTTTGAGTAAACTCCAGGAGTTGGTGATGGACAGGGAGGCCTGGTGTGCTGCAGTCCATGGGGTCGCAAATAGTCAGACATGACTGAGTGACTGAACTGAACTGAACATCCAAGGAACACAGCTTGGCTGCCAGAAAAACAGAAGTTTAAAAAATGCTTAAGCTGTGGGCTTCGCTAGTCGCTCAGGGGTAAGGAATCCTCCTGCCAATGCGGGAGTCACGGGTTCGACTGCCAGGTGGGGAAGATCCCACGTGCCGCAGAGCGACTAAGCCCAAGCACCACAGCTACTCAGCCTGGGCTCCAGGGCCCGGGGCCACTGCTGATGCCTGCAGGCCCGAGAGCCTGTGCTGCACGGCACCCAGAGGTCACTGCA